AACGCCCACAAAGCGACCTCTAAAGTATTCAAATTTTTTATGATCTTTCGCACATAATCAGCTCTTAACTTGTAAATAGAAGTTGGAGATGATGTCAAGGAGAGTCATACGCAAAAAGAACCACTAAAAATATTGAATAATGAAGAAGTTACAATTGTTTGAACTTGATCTTGAAAATGTTGACTTTTTGGTTAATACAGTTGATTTTCGGTCATCCGAGCAATTGACTGAGCGAACTTGTGATGCAAGGCATGAAATTTGATATGAGCATTCTTGAATACATATGAAGCACCATGAAAGCTATTTGAGACCTTGGAAACCCAATATTGCTTGAGAAATACCAAACCCTAGTTATGGACCCAATGCTTAGGAGGAGAATTTGTCTGATCAATTCTTGAGCCACCTTGAGAATTTGTGAAACCCTAAGAGAATATCTTGAATGAAAAATAGGAGGGAAAATTTTAGAGTACAAAATATATTTTTTCGTTACTCTTGTCCTTACAACTCCTCTCAAAATGGTAAAGCTGAGCGAATAATAAGGTCCATTAATAACAATATTCAAACTTTATTAATTCATGCATATCTACCTCATTCCTTTTGGAATTATGCTCTAGAAATGACCACCTATATTTCTAACATTTTGCCTAGTAAATCAATAAACTTTCAGTCACCTCTCTACATGTTATATAACAAAAACCCATCATACTCTCATCTATGTGTTTTTGGTTTTTTATGCTTTCCGCTATTCCCCTCAATTAATATCCACAAACTTCAACCTCGCTCCACACCTTGTGTATTTATTAGGTATCTGTCCAATCATCGTGGTTATAAGTGTCTCGATATGACAACAAACAAAACAATCATTTTTCGTCATGTTTTGTTTGATGAGTCCACTTTTCCCTATGCAAAGCTTCACACCCCTCAATCTACTACCTACACGCTTCTCGATAATGACTTATCCCCTTATCTCATTAACCATATCATGAATCAAGACAAAAAAAATTGTTAACCCAGTTAATCGGTCCATCCTTAAAAGCCAAAAACCTTCCTAAACATGGCCCACACCACACCTTTTTCCAAATACACTCCCTCAAACAAAATAGCCCACTACTCCCTCAAATTGGCCCCAATCAAATTCAATCTCTACTCTAAACTCATCACCCCCCTCCGCACAGTCAAACCATACCTTGCAAACCAATCTTCCCCTTATCTATCAACCTACCGCCCAAGCCAACACAAAACCCATCACTAGGAGTCAATATGGAGTTTTTAAACCTAACAAAAAATACTACAGTTTACTCACTCATGTCACAAAATCCCCCTTTCATAGGAATCCAATGTCTGCACTTAAGGACCCTAATTGGAAAATGGCTATGCATGATGAATATAATGCTTTAATTAAAAATGATGCGTGGGATTTAGTACCACGACCGCCTGATATTAATGTTATTAGATCTATGTGGATCTTTATACATAAAGAAAAATCTGATGGTTCCTTTGAGAGGCATAAAGCCAAACTTGTAGGTGATGGTGCAGGTCAACAGGTTGACATTGATTATGGAGAAACTTTTAGCCCAGTTGTCAACTCGGCTACCATTCATACTGTTCTCAGTATTGCTCATTCCAAATCTTGGTACATTCATCAATTAGATGTCAAGAATGCATTCTTCCTCGGTGAACTCAAAGAAATAGTTTACATGTATCAACCATTAGGATTCAGAGATTCCAAACATCCTGACCATGTGTGTCGTCTCCGCAAATCACTATATGGGCTTAAACAAGCCCCTAGAGCTTGGTATAAGAGGTTTGCCTACTATACTTCATCGATTGGGTTTTACCAAAGCAAGTGTGATCACTCTCTATTCATCTACAAGAAAGACTCTCATCTAGCCTACCTTTTACTGTACATAGATGATATCATCCTCACCACCTCCTCTGATGCTTTGTGGTAATCCATCATCTCTCTCCTTAACTCCGAGTTTGCTATGAAAGACTTAAGACATCTCAACTACTTACTGGGTATTGCAGTCACTCGCCATAAGCATGGTCTATTCCTCACGCAGAAGAAATATGTTGAAGACATCCTCTCACAAGCCAACATGTCTTCATGCAAAACTTGTCTAACTCTAGTTGATACAAAACCCAAGATGAGTGCCGCACATAGTGTCCCGTATGAGGATCCGTCTCTCTATCGTAGTCTTGCAGGTGCCCTCCAGTATCTTACCTTCACACGACCTGATATCTCATATGCGGTTCAACAAATCTGTTTCTTTATACACAATCCGATAGACACCTACATGCCTGCTCTCCGCAGGATATTACGCTACATTCAGGACACCAAACACCACGATTTACATATCTATCCCTCATCTACTACTTCATTACTATCTTATACAAATGCAGATTAGGGAGGATGTCCTGACACTAGACGTTCCACTTTCGGCTACTGCGTGTATCTTGGAGACAATCTACTTTCTTGGTCGTCCAAACGACAACCACACTCTAGTGCTGAAGCAAAATACTGTGGAGTTGCTAATGTGATATCTGAATCTTGCTGGTTACGAAACCTTCTGCTTGAGTTACAATGCCTTATTCATAAAACAACCATGGTGTACTGTGACAATGTCATTGCCATCTATCTCTCGGGTAACTCATTTTAGCATCAACGAACAAAACACATTAAAATGAATATTCATTTTGTTCGTGAAAAGATGAAGTAGGGACGAGACAGACCCTCAGGCATGTACCTTTTTAAGTAAAAAGTTATATTAATATATGTGTTTACAAAAAAATACGGTCTAAATATTTAATCTATCTCACAAAAAAGTACGGACAAAATAAACATTTCCGGCGAGTCAGACCTATTTTATCATTTTTATGGTTAATTTAGTTAAATTAATATAAATTAATAATTTAGAGTTTACTTTCTAATAATAATATTTATTTATATTTATGTATTATTATAAATAAATTATTGATAATTATAGATTAACAATTTAAAAAATATATATATACCTTTAAATAATATTTTCTCAACTTGTATTTATAATACTCTTTCGCAAATTTTATATGACTATTTTGAATTTTCTTAAAAAATATATAAATGAAAAATGAAAACAAGTTAAATATAATAAATTAAAAATGGTATATGTAATATCAATATTATAAGTGATTTTAAAAAAAAAATATTATTTTAAATTATATATCCTTTTACAGTTTCAATATAATAATATTTTTTTAATAAACTCTCTACTATTACATTTCACTTTTCCCCTTCTTTTAAATTTTTTTCTTTGTGTCATAATGAAAGATAATAGTGTCATATATCATATCAGTACATGATTTTTTTTTTCATACAAAATGGATTATATATTTTTTAATGAGACATGCTACTTATTACCAAACGAAATATACGAATGGGCAAAATAGTTAGTTACCAAAAAATATAAAATCGGCTTTTTATTGAAACATGGGTAGGATTAGTTTAATTCTTGTCTTTCTTTCATTTGACATTAGTAACAAATAGTATTTTCCTTTTTTAATTTATATATTTTTTAAAGATTAATATCATTTAGTACGAAATATTTTAAAGAAGAAATATAAGAATGTATATATGTTATTATTTTAGAGTTGAATTTTAAATTAATTTTAATTTTAAATTTTTTTAAAATAAAATTATGGAGTGGTGGTAATATTTAATGATGGAGATTTATTCTTATATTTTTTTGTTTTCATATTTTCTTACTAATAAATATTTTTCTTTTTTAAATTTATATGAAATGGTCAAAAAGACTTCTAATGTAGGATGTTCAATTAAATAAATTATATAATTAAAAATCTAATAAAAAATATTCATTTAGTTTTTTTTTTTTGCAAATAAGTAAATGGAGGAGGTATTTATCGATTTTTTTTTTGATTAATTAGGTATTAAAAAAATACGTAAATAATCACGTTTCAGAGAAAATTATGTGAATAACTAGATTTCAGAAAAATGTTTATAAGGTGGAGCCATCTCAGATGATGCATGTTCTAAAAATAGCATGTAGACGCTATCTGAGATGACGAATGCACTATAGAGGTGCCACATGGCTTGGCTCATGCTCTATAAATTTGAGATGAGGCGCCATCTGAGATGACTTCTATGTATACTTGTATTTTCTATAAATAAAATCCATCAATTCTCCTAATTTCTCCACTATTTTCACACATCTTCTCACTTTCTCTTTAATTCTTTCACCGTGACATCCGGAATTATTTTCACAAGAGATGAATATGTTTGTTACTCGCTCACAAAACTCCGATGAAAAATAAAATTTTGGCACACCCATTCTATGGAACGTCTTAAAAGAGAGTTGAAAAGATGATAAGACGAGGACATTCAATCGGACAAACAAATTAGAAAAATCCAGAGAAGAAGAATCACCATGAATTTCGCAACTAGAAAACCTCGTTTTTGGTTAGAGGAAGTCAAACCTAAACGTCGTCTCATTTGATACATTCATACAAAATTTATGAATAAACGTCATCTCACTTAATTCCTTGTTATAAACATTTCCCGAAACTTAAAAATAATTTTCTCCAAAATACAATTATTTACATTTTGTTTTTCAAAACTTGGTTACTCAAAGAAAAATTACATTTATTTATAACCAAATACAAGTAGTCCAAAAAAAATCACATTTATTTATAACCAAATACAAGTAATACTTTATTGAAAATCGATCCATATCAAAATTAATTTGATTCTTTACCCATCTCAAACAAGTGCTTATTTACAACAATTGATGTTTCAAAACAAAGGGTCAAAATGCCATTGATAACCGGCAATAACCAACTAGAATTTTTTAATAGACATCTTCTATCCATCCGTTATAAATTGTAGATTTGAGTAGCCTCTCTACTTTTAGGCTTTTAGCCCCCAAACCATACCATACTGTACTATACAACATCGCATAGTAGTACTAGTAATGTGTGATGTAGTAGATCACAAAAGAAACGAAATGGCAAAAAGGAAAACCACCACCACCAACAATAACCGAACAAAAGAATCAAAATCACACACACTCCCTTCATCACCATCACACTCATTTTCATCATCTTCTTCCTCAGATTTCGAATTCACTATCTCTATCTCACCTCGCAAATCTTCCAACCATCTCTGTCCCGCAGATGAACTCTTCTACAAAGGCCAACTCTTACCTCTCCATCTCTCCCCTCGTATCTCCATGGTCCGTACTCTTCTCCTCTCTTCCTCCTCCACCTCCTCCGCCACTTCCTCCTCCACCGCTCCCCGTGACTCCACCGGTAGCACCAACTCAAACGACTCCACCTCTTCTTTCATCAGTGACCTCGCTCTTTTCCCTGACTCTTGTGATTCCTCTCGACCAAGTTCTGTCACTGAAGACGATGAACTCAAACGTCTCAATCTCAACAACAACAACAACAACAGATCCAGTTCACAGTTGAAGAAAACCAACAAGTATTTCTCTCTGTCACGATTCTCCTCCGTTTTTCGTAGAGATACCGTCGTTAAAACCAGAGCAAGCGAAACCGAAACCGTAGCTAGTAATATCATCAACAACTCTTCCATGAAACGAATGAGTGTTACTGCGAAAGAGGTTATTCGAAAATACTTCAAGAAAGTGAAACCATTATACGAGAAACTTTCTCAAAAACAACAACCAACGGAGGATGTTACACTTACAACAACTACAAACACAAATACAACGTTAACGGTTATGTCTCTGTTAACAAAATCAGAGAGATCTGTGAAGGAAATGAAGAAAGAGAACGTGGGTATGTTATCTCATTCGTTTTCTGGGAATTTAAGGTATCCAAGAAAGAGAAACTTCGTTTCAAGTTGTCCTTCTTCAATGAGATCTTCACCAAGTCATTCTGGTGTTCTTTCATCAAAAGCTGTTCTTCGTGATTCTTCTTCCATGGAAGAGTTGCAGAGTGCTATTCAAGGTGCTATTACTCATTGCAAAAACTCTTTAATCACCAATCATAAAACAGTGATTAGTAGTAGTAATAACCAAATTAATCTTATCTAATCTTTGTAATTTGTTTTATTACAACGTTAGTTTCTTGATCTATGTTTTTTGTTCTCATTAACCAAAATATCATGTTCAAAAAATGTTCAAAAAAAAAAGGAGAATCTTTCTTGTATTGTAGAAGCTGACGTGGCATTGAATTTGCATGTGACTGAGTATTTAAATTTGGAACGTGCTTTTGATTTTTAGTTGGGAAAGTGAAAAGTCTTTTTTTCTGACTGTTTTTAATTGTACTATTTGATATCATATACTAATACAGTAGTATTATACAGTAGTTGTAATAAGTGTGACGTTGATGTGGTACAGTGATGGTAGTAATTGCTCTGCAACGAAAAAATGGCAGTATATGAATTGGAGTTTTCTGTGAATTATTATGGTTCCACCATATGTAATGTTGCAATGAGATTGTGAAGATTTGATTTAAATAATGATGATGATTATTGATATTGAAATGGACATGTATAAATGCAAGTAGTACTATTATCTGAAAATGCATGTGCATAATAGAGTGAAATGGACGTTGTATTCAAGTTAATTAAATGTGCATTTATTGTATAGTTAAAGAAGTATGTAGTGAGAAAATTCGTGTATGCTTCCTTATGTCGGTGGCTTGTTTCTTTGAATTTTTAAATTTGAATTTCCATATTACCTATGCTAGTTTTTGGTGCAAGATTAATACTCCCAAACTAATGTGTTATAGTACCTAGACTTAGATATTTTTTGTATTTTCTCTATGTATTTTGTTTTATATGCTGATTATGTTGACTTTCAATGAAATATTTTATTCCTTTTTAATTGTCACTTTTGTAAAAAAATTATGTTTCTAGATAACATAAAAGTGTGTTAAATAATGAGTTTGAAGGTAAAAAATAATTAAGGAGACAACTATTTATTAATGATAGAGATGATTAAGTAAGGAGACAAAACTATTTGTTAATGATAGAGATGGCTAAGTAAGGAGACAAAACTATTTGTTAATGTTAGAGATGACAAAGTAGGGAAGAGAGAAATAAAAGAGAGTTTTAATAATATGAATAACTTACGTAAATAAGAGTTATAGAGAATATATAATAAAATATAAATAGATTAAATCATTTATAGCTTAACTATAAATAAAAATCATTATATTATCTAACATCTCCTGTTAAATTTATATTGTATTATTTTTTTGGATAGTGAAAAAAAAAGTAAAATAAAAATAAAGCAGTGAATTATTTGAAAAATAAAGTCTCACTAGCATCTTTTGGTAGAAGAGTGATGATTCTAATAGAAGATTCTGTAAAAAATTGATATGCTGTATCATTACCAATTTTATATTTTGCTAAATAGTCAACGTAAACATTTACATCTTTAAGTGTATGAAATATTTGAATTCGCTATTTCTTAACATAAACATTTACATCTTTAAGTGTATGAAATATTTGAATTCGCTATTTCTTAGAAAGAAGTTCTTTAATATTATGAAGAATCACGACATAGTGATGTCAAACATTAATATACTCTGAGATAAATTTGATAGTAGTTCAAGTTAGAATAACACATCAAGTCTTTGATGCCAAATTCACAGATCATACATAAATCATGATATAACACGATTTACTCAGCATGAAGAATGTTCAAAAATTCAATATTACCCGCAAAATTGCGAACTCAAGCACCATCGACATTTCAAACCAATCCACCAAAAGTCGAGAAGCTAGGATTAGCAAGGCTGCTTCCATCAACATTCAAAATCATATTACTATCTTTGTGTGCATTACATGCGACCATTCTCCTTGGATGAGACATATTATGCTTGGGAAAAAATTTAGCTAAAAGATTAGCATTTTTCATTGTGATGAGTTTCAAAGTATAGGAAGATATCACTTCATTCGCAAGAAACAATTTGTTTCTAGTGTGTCATAACCACCAACAAGCAGTCAAAAAGATAGAGCCGTCAATGATGTCATGTCTAATCAAATCATATCAACTATCTCCTTGAAATAATAGTGGGTCCAAAAAACCAATAGATTTCTAAAAGCGAGTAGAAATTTCACAATCTTGGTGTACTGATTGCATCTAGGACAAAGATTCGTCTAGAGTATACTACGATGACACAATATTGATCTTGTAGGAAGGGACTCATAAAAAGTCGTCCAAAGAAAGAATTTCACATTCTCAAGAGCAGGAATATACCACACTAATTTCCAAGAGTTATTGTCTGTTGTATAATGAACAAATTCAAGTCTGTTGAGTCAGTATAACCATCCTGAGCTGTATAGATATAATCTAAATTGTCTTTATAGGTTAAGTGATCAGGAACTAGAGAATTCAAACAAATGAGAAGCACTTTTAGGCGGTCACAAACAACCGTGAGAATATTAGTATATAATGGATTGAGGTTCCAATTTCCATCCAAGTAAACATCGTCATTTGCATTTTTGAGATTGTGGATATCCACATAGAGAATATGCTCCGCTAATTCTCCTACCCTAGACCAATTGGAAAACCAGAAAGAGGAGTTCACATCCCCTAAACTAAACTCAGTTCTATCTTTAAGAGTTGAGTGAGCTTTTATAACTGCATTCCAAGTCACAAATTTCAATTTCTTTTTCATATTGAGGAACACTTCCTTATTGATGTACTTATGCTTCAAAACTTGGACCCATAAGAAATCACAATCTCGGTGGAGATTCCAAACCAGTTTACTCAACATAGAGGTATTAGCCTCTCTTGCTTTTCAGATCCTAAGACAACCCAACTTTTTGGGCTTAGTGATTCTATTCCAGCCAACGAGAAGCACACTAGAATTTGAATTATCTTTCCATAAAAAAATTATAGTCATCCTATAAATAAAATCACAAGTTGGTTGGGGTATCCAAGTCACTTGTGTTGTACCCATTTTTTGCTCCCAAGATTCCTCTATCATCTCATATCAACTCAATCATATTAAGATCACACTAGGGTTTTGGTTCTTCTCCCTATCTTTAGGTTTGCTCAAGAGGAATCACCAAGCACCTTGAATTGTATATTATAGACATATATGTTTTGTATTGATTAACTTTTAACTAACAAATACAATGAATATTTTCTCTAATTGATGATACTATAAGTAAGAGCACAACACATTTATTCAGGTTAATCTATAGGTTCATGAGTTTATTTCCACGCCTCCTCCAACAAAACTTCATTGAGATTCAAGCTTCATCATTATAGATGCTTTAAATTAATATCATGACAAGATCTACTATGGTTTATCATGCCTCAATTTGTCAAAGAAAGTCAAAAGATGCAATGGTTGATTGAAGAAGTTTGACCTAATTGGACAAATTCTTGATTCTTTGATCACAAGTGCATAACTCTCTTAATCCTTAATATTTGGAGGTGGTAATTATTATTATGGGTTCTCATTATCATCCACAACAAACTCTATTCACATGGAAAAAGTTATTGTGCAAGAAAGATTGTCAAAATTGAAAAGGGTTTCCAAGTCATTTTGGTGCTTGAAGAGCTAGAGTTTTGAACTTCTAAGGGCTATATCTTGCTCATATTTTGAGATTTTTGAGTGATTCCAAAGACACACTTATCTTTAAAGGGTTATCAACTAATCACTTCAAGAGTTTCAAGAAAATTTGGTGTGGAAGATGCTTAATGATGAAGAAAGATTACAAGTCCTCTAGATACGCCATCAAATTCCCTTATGTGACTTCAAAAGTTTATAACTTGTTCAATTTTTATCTCCTTGAGCCTATTATTTTTCCACAATTATCTTAGGGGTGTGAACTTCAACTCTTCTTTTATGCGTAAAACTTGAAAATGAGTGGAAGATACCCTAAGAATTCAAAAGATTATAGGTCACCTCATGAATTTTCACCAATTTTACAAGGCCATAACTTTTTCAATACTTATTTTTGAGTGATTCAAGTTTCACAATGCTCTTTGGGAAGTCTACTTCAAGCTAGAATCAATTATCAAAGCTCAATTTTGGAGGAAGACCTTGTTTGAACTCCAAACATTATAGATTATTTTTGAAGAAAAACTTAGAATTTTTCTAAGTACAACAAGTCAACATCTTTTTCTCAACTTTGACTCATCATAACTTTTAGCTCAAACATCCATCTGATCTCATTCTTGGCACATTGCAAAGATTGTGATCTTATCTTTCAGATGCTTCAAGAATCATGCCTTAGGATCCCTTGAGCTGTGAACACCATGGATTCAAAGTTGGTACCTTGAAACTGAAGATTTCACCAAAGTCAGAATTTGAAATCCATATTGTGCCTTCTAAACACAAAGTTTACACGTGTTTTTGCTTCTAATCATGTTTAGCAACATTCCAAAAGCATTTAGCATCATAAAACGCAGGATTTGGCTGAGTTTTGATGCTAAACAAGTCACACATTTCTCATGCTTCAACTTCACACGAATTCACTCAATTACACTCTCATTCGCACACTTAAGCATTGCCTCATCCTCTCCTATAAATAAGATGCATATTCAACCTATTTTCACAAGTTTTTGATAGACAATTGACCCATGTTCAGATCTCACACGAACTCTGAATTTGAATTTCTAATTTCTTGCATTCTCACTCCAAAACACCAAAAGCTCCATTCAGTTAGCTTCATTGAACTTCTCTGAAGCTAACCATACTTTTACCTTCAAGAATTGTGAACTATATTGATCTACAGAAGTCCAGTTTCAAAGCCACTTTTTGCTACTTCGCTCAGGTAGATTTCTTGATCAAATCGATCCAAATAAAAAACTAATATACTCTCTTCATCTTTCTGATTCTCATGCTTTTTACAATTTGTAATTTCATTGAGATTTGAGTGAGATATTTCAGAATTTTGTGCTCGCTATTATTTCTGCATTTTCTCAATTTAAGCCTTGCTCTGTTTATATAAATTTGGCGCGATGGTACCATTAGAATCATCTTGAAGAGACGAATCTAATGGTATCGGTTTGGTCCTCTAATTCTACAGTTTGAGGAACCCCAATCTAGGGCGTCCGGAGGTTGA